TAATAGGTAAATAATGCACAGTCTTAAAACCACATGGATTTAATATAGATCACATTCCTAAGAAGTGTCCCAAGGGAGAAGTGGAGATCTGAGGATACAGCTTAACTGCATAGGCAACAGCGTTTATATAAACGCTTTGCACACATGACAGTGAGCAAATCCACAGATTACTCTGAATGTATAAAGTATCTCTTAGCTTGTAGTAGCAGATTCATGACCTGCTAAGACAAGAATCACATAGCAAGAATACAGGCAAAGCTCCACGAAGAAATATGGCTACACTACAAAGAGATGGAAGCCACCTGTTAAGAATCACTGGACAAACTGAAAGCGGTTTGGGTGAGATACACCATAAGACTCTAATTGAGCTATTCTTCTTAGTCAAGAGATGGGAGCCTGGACTAACGGGGCAGGCATTTGAATGTTATGAAATATGTGTTTATATTCAGGAAGGCTCCTATAATGGGATTTGGAGCATTTTCACACATGAGACCAGACAAGCCTCTTCCTTCACTCTCTTTCTCAAGGGAGCATAAAATGGACATTGACTAGAATACTAGTTGTATTACAACGGACACGCCTCCTCCATGTGTTCTGCTGCACTGACAGTAGCCAGATGCTAACTGTGTCATAGAGGCTCAAAAGTGATTTACATCTCCCTTAGGAAAATACTCCCATTCCAGCACAGCTAGTAGCTCAGACTGTCTCAAGAGGAATACCTGTGGAAGGGAAAGGCAACACCTTTGGGTAGTGAAGGGTTGGGTATAAATCCAATCTCTTCTGCTGCTGCTGCTTGGAACCTGGGACAATTGCAGATGGGGGTGTCACCAAAGCCGTGTGCATGTAGGCAGGGAAGGAGATTTACCTCCAATATGCTCATTGACTTGGATCCAAAGTAGTGCCAGCAGAGCATTCAGCAAGAGAAATGGAACTTTTGGTCTCCCCAGTTCCACTGCAACCCCCCCCCCCAGTGCTACTATCAAGGCCCGGAGACCCCAGGAACAATGTGGGGTGCAATGGCAGGCTCTGCAATGGGAGGGGAAATAAGTAGAAATCCACCCCCTCTGCTGGTAGAAAACAAGGTTTGGATTCAAGCCATTATCACTAATGCTGAATGTTTCCCCATTAGGCCTATGATAAGTCCCCCTTCCCGTATTTGATACATAAAGTTAACCAGCCTGAGTTATTTTTCTCTCAGTGGTGCAAATTGTGGCCCAGTTTCTTTGCTCAGCCTCAATGTAATACTATGGAATAAGCAGTTCCAATGCTTTAGAGTGAATTAGCATGTGTTAATGAGGCATGGCAGAAATGCTGGGTGTCCCTTACATCAAGACAGCACAGCTCTTACACACTTCGATGATAAGTTATTTGTTATTTCCAAGCAGCCAAGTTTCATATCATTCTATAGAACAGATGCTACAATTCCAGCGTTTGAAATCATGGCTCAACAGGGCTTTTTATACATTGTCTTTTGCTCAGTTTATCTGTAATGTAAAAGTGAAACTTACGTTGGCAGAATATATATTTGATTTAGAACTGGCTCCTTGTTAACAACATTCACATATTGCACAGACAGCATGGGAGAGGATCAAAGGCACTTTTCAGTATCTCCTAGGGAAATGGTCAAAGAAACTCAATGATGCCCAATCCAGAGCAACTATGTGTCATCCCTCTCTTTCCCCACAGGAAAATGCCCATGGCAAATTTGACTTCTGGCTTGTGGATACAGAAGGGGCTCCTGCTCCTCAAATTCTACGATCAATTCTTTCTTCCTGTGCTAAGAAGCTTGCATGCTCTCCTCAGACCCTCACCCCATTTCTTGCAGGAGGCTCTCACAGTCTGCTTTCCAGTTCCTCTCAGCGTATCACACATAGTTTTCTTCGGGCAGCTCAGAACAACTTAGATAGGTTCCACAGCTATCTCCCATCTGGTGACTTTCTAAAATTGCATCTACTTGGCTTAATAATCTATAATTGCACCATGTGCCCACGGGGTCTTTAAGTATTTGAGTCCCTGACATTCACCTTGCCAAAGAGACACAGAGAGTAATCCTAAACAGGCTTACTTAGAAGCCTAGTCAGTTCTGGTCAATAGGGTTTACTCCCAGGAAAGTGTTCTTAGGACTGCACTGAGAGATACCTTAACACACACAGCTGATCCTGGGGTCTTATCAGGGAATACAGTGGACCAGTGTCCCAGTGAGGTAAAAGCTACTCCAATTTGCTCTCCTGTGCCACCTAGAGGCTTTCGGCCTGCCTTCCAATGCTCAGAAGAGGCTCCATCACATGACCGGGGATCAGTCAGCATGTATAATACCTTTTATCAGCCTTGTTTTGCTGTGTTTGCACCAGGACTTTTATAAGCTAAGATGGGAGATGACAAGGAGGAGAAAAATCTTCCCTCATTGATGCAGCCAGGAAGGGAGGCAGGGCACAGGAAGAGATTTAAAAATGCTTCCTATCATGCAGAGCAAAAGACAGCCAAGTAAGGAAAATGGCAGAGGACAATACGGAAGTTCCAGTGTGGCAGGAGACTCACATAAGCTCTGTGCTGGAGATGGCTCCGGCAGGCCCAGGGTGAAAGGCTTTTGCTGAACAGTCCCTGTTAAATTGTTCTTCAGGTGTAGGGCTGTGAAGGCTGTGGTGGAAGGTAGGGTGGGGGAGCTGAGGAAGGAAGAGACTGGAAATCAGAACAAAGGAAGACTCCGGAGTAGGGATAACTTATTGCTGCTGCATACTAGAGTGTACAAGGCTGAGGGGGATTTTTTTCCTCTCCCAAGCTCATTCCGTTAGTAGTATCTGTTGTCATGGAGATGTTGGCCTAGAACTCACTGAAATACGTCAGCCTCCTTGGCTGGTCTGTAATCCCTTTCCTTCTCTGTTGAGGATATGAAGCAGTCATATGGAGTCTGACCATCTGGCCCAACTAGCTCAGTATTGTCTACTCTGACAGGCTGTGGGTTTCTCAAGCAGAGAAAGGCCTGGTCTACACATGTGGGAGAATGACGTCCCAGAGTGCTGAGGTGGTAAAATGGACCCTACCATTTCAGATTGCAGGGGCAGGATTATATTGCTCACTGTTCTCCTACATTACTTATTCCCCATAAATGGAAAAGTGGCAAAACGTACAAAGGTCTAGGTGAAAGCCTTTCTCCCACAGGTAATAATTTTTAATTTGTGGGAGTTTTTTACATAGTAGAGCATCACAAATGTGCCCAACCCCTAGCCACTCTAAAGTGGAATAGCCCATTCTAATACTTTATTCTGCAACATATGCAGACAAAGCCAAAGAGCCTTCCTAATACCCGGTAGCTGAGATCTGTTAACTGAAGATGTTGGGAACTAAATTTGAGACTTCATATATTCTGCCACTGAGGTACTATCACTCTCCTGTTCAGTAGATGGATGAGCTTTATCAACAGCCATATCCTCAGGGCAGGTTCTGTGTCCAATGGGAGTGCCTGAGACAAAGCTACAAATCCCATTCCCCATTGCCTCCACATTTCTTCCTTACCTGTAGGATGGTAGTATGGTGGCCCAGGTGGGTATAAAGGATACTGTGCAGCCGGACCTTCAGGGGGATAAGGAGCCACAGGGGCATAAGGCTGAAATTGTGCTGGCCCTGCTTTGGGATCCATCAGGTAAGGTCCTGGAGCCTGAGCAGGGTATCCAGACAGGGGGATCTCGTGATCTGAGATACAGAGCATAGGCTGTGAGCATTCGCAGGGCTGATGCTTCTCCAACAGAACAGCCTACTACAGGTGATTCCCCCTGACTCCACTGAGAGCATCTTCACTGAGATGTTTTCTTTCCAGTCTTTCAGATTAAAAATCACCCTCCTCCCATTCCACAGAATGTGCACTCGTTAAGTATACCAAGGGGTACTCCCAAGTGTAGTCCTCTGAGGATACTATCTGCCACTTATTGGACACTTTTCTGTCACTGTGCATATGCAGTATTTGCACTGGATCTGCAGGTCATGACTCTTCACAATGCCTCCAATTAGTCCATAAGAAGGAAGACAACAGCAGGATTTCTCTTACCTTGATAAGGCGTCTGACTATGATGCCGTCGTTGGTACAGGTAGCAGCAGGAGCACAGGAAGCAACAGACAATGGTGGCAACAATGGCCACAAAGAGTATCACAGCTGAAGCGATACCAGCAATTGCTTTGGGGCTGAAGGACAGATAACAGGTGTTATTTGGGCCTGCCTACCTCTGGCTGCATCCCAGTTACCACGAGGGTTGGAAAGAATCATCTTGATCAGCAGTTAAAGATCACCCGTTAAACTAATCTATGTTCATGTTTATGCCGAAATAAATTTTGTTATTCTTCTAAATGCCACTGGACTCCTGCTTTATTTATTAATCTGTGTTAAATGACCTTCAGCGTGCAGTCTGATAGGATACACATGGAACTTCTGAGGGCCTTAAAACTGATTTATTGTAGCACAGGCTTTTGAAGACAAAGAGCTCACAACCCATAAAACTCTCAAACAAGAGAAACTTTTTTTTTGCTTTCAGCCCCCACCGGTCTATCCTATAATCGACAAACTACAGGGATGCCTGGAAGTAATAAAGCAGTGTGGTTGTTTCCCGGGGTATCTCGACATCTGGTATGTTCTTACCTGAATGCCATGCAGTGCTTTTGCTGCCGCTCAGTGATGAGTTTGCTGGTGTCGTAGCAGCAGAAGCGATGGTGACAGTCACCGCAGCAGAAGGAGAAGAAGGGGCAGTTGAAGCCTGGATGCCATGAGCCATTCCTGTCCATGAACCACTTGCAGTCTTCATCAGCTGAGACTTTCAGAAGAAGCCATTTGGATGTTCAGACAACACATAAAAGGGCAGTGAAAACAGGAGTATGTTGCAGAGGTATCAAACACATTTGTTATGAGGGCCCAAGCTGACATAAATGTCACTTTGTCGGGCTGGGCCATGTGTCCCATAAACATAATGCCAGGTACTGGAGATAGAAACCGTATTAAGGACAGCAGCTGGTAAGCACCAGGTTGGTGTATCCTCACTGCAAGGCCTCGTGGGCTGGGAGGGGGGTGCAGAGGAAAACCCACACAGGCAGACTGGAGAGGAAGCAGTGCAGCAATGGGCAGATGTTCCCATGATGCTTGACTGCTGCAGACTACTCCCCCCAACACTCCCTCCCTTGCATCAGTTGCTTGCGGGCCACATAAGAGGCCTGGACGGGCTGGTTCTGGCCCCCGGGCCTTATGTTTGACACCCCTAGTATACTGAGACTGGGGGTCTCATGGGGATGAGCTGCTGGGTTGCAGGCAGGAAATCCACCTCAGTTTGGAGAACAGCTATATGAATTCTGTTTAATGCTGAACCAAAAGGCCATGCTACTTTTTTTTTTTTTTTTACAAAAGCCAAAAGTCTAAAATGCGTAGCAGAACAATATATATATATACACACTAAAGATCACAGGAACAGTCTGGACAAAGGGCACGTGGGGCAAGGGCTACAGTAAGGAGGGGAACCAAAATGGAGTTTAAAAAAGCTGAATTTAGTATCACGTGCAAACCACACCTCCTCACTTGACTCACCCTTAAGTCTGGATACCTGGTGAACAGTCTGCTGAGGGACCTCACTGCTTATTTGCTTCCCTTGTAAGAACCGTTTGTTTACTCCTGCTCTCTGCTTCCTGTTCATTTACCAACAGAGCAATCCTAAGCAAGTCTTCTCAGAATCCTACTCGTCTATTTAATGGGGTCTTAGGATCAGGGCTATTTTTGGGCAGGAACGGAGTTCCGGCTGGCTCCTGAGTTGGCCACACCCAGCAGGAACTTATTAGCATAATAGGCCACACCCAACAGCAGAAACTCATTAGGATTGGCTGCAGTAGGCGTGTGTGGCCTAACATGCAAAGGAGTCCCTGCTACAAAACAAAGGCCCTGGGTTTTGACAACAAACAAGGTAAACAGAATAAGAAGCAAAAGGTGGGTGTGGCTGGATAACCACACTTCTGGTAACATGGGGGTGTGGCCTAATATGCTAATGAGCTGTGGTGTCAGGGTGTGACCTAATATGCTAATGAGTTTCGGCTGTTGGGTGTGGCCTATTATGCTAATGAGTTCCTGCTGGGCTTTTTCTACAAAAAAAGCCCTGCTTAGGATGCACTGTAATGCCACAAGAGGAACAATATAATCTTACCCCCCTGACTGCTAAGTTTAATTGGTAGCCCTTGTTGGAGGACTCTGTCAAAAGATTTTTGAAAGCACAGGTGTTTCACAATACTAGATAAGCATCCACGTGCTCAGTTCCAGGAAACATGGATAAGCATTTCTGTACACAATTTATCACATAGGAGAAATAAAAATTGCTTCAGACCTGGCACTGAATTAGAGCTCGCCAGGCAGAGGAAACTGAAACGTCTATCATCTTTCGAGCATGTACTATGGGGCAGCTGTAGCAGCTTTCTACTGCCAGCCTAGAGTATCAAATGTTGGAGTTGGTATTCAAGGTCTGAACCCCCTCCTCTTAAAAATGTGACTTCCACTTATGGAACATGACCAGTGGCCTTGGAATGCCTGGAGGTCCCATTTGCTCTGTTCTGCAAAACATACTGCACCCTTGGCTACTGAAACCTGCTCCAGGCAGCCAAACCCTAGCTTTATATTCAAGAATCCACCCTGTTCCATTTTATATCTCTTCTGCCAGAAATTTCCTCAGATTATTTGGGAAGCTGTAAATAGTGCCTTGGATAAGAAAAAAGCGTTAATTGACATTCTTTTTCAGCAATAAGAAAACCAATCCTAATGTTTTGCTAGTGTTATGGGTTTGTTGTCCAGTTACTGTGAATGGTTTAGCCTAATGGGACTGGGACCAGCAGGTTTTAGGATGAAAGAATGTTAATATTTCTTCTTTTCGTAAAGCAAGTATTACAAAAATACCATAAGTCTCTCACGCTGTCTCCACCAAAGGGAACCAAACCAAGCCTCACTGTTCCTGTCACTTTTTGCTTCTAGGAGAAGTGGGGAGTGTGTAACACTAGCAATTTATTGAAATGACTTTATGAATCAGTTTAAGTTGCAAAATAACTTCGAGGTCTAGATTAGGATGAAAAGATGGGACCATTTGGTGCAAAATGCTGCATCTTGGTTACAATCAGGAGCTACGCAGAGCATGCAAAATACACCCACTCCGCAGTCACTCCATTGGTACCAGGTTCAATTTAAGGTACTGGTTATCACTTAAAAAGTGATTTGTGGCCCTGGACCCCCATATCTGCAGGACCACCTCTTCTTCTATGCTCCACCAACAGCTTCACGCATCTGAGCAAAACCTTCTGATTCTGCCATCCTGCAAATAGGTAAGATTGACAGCTGTCTGGACACTGTTATTCTCTGATGTGGCTCCCACCTTGTGAAATAGCCTGCCTGAGGTGGTCAGGAAGATTCTCGCACTTCTGTCATTCCAGAAACTGCACAAAACAGAATTGTTCAGCAGAGCATTTTTTAAACAAAGGGAACAGCACTATAGCATAATGGGATGGAATTTTATAAAGGGAACAGGATTGTAGTCTGTTCCACTGTTTTTTGTCTGGATTGTCTTGCTCTTAGTGCATCGTTTTCTACTTCTGTAATTCCAGCCTTTGCATTGTTGATGATGTCATGTCTAATACTTTATTCTTGCATTGTTTCTAATTTTTGTGATCCTACTCCTATTGCATTGTTTGCTGGATGACCCATGCTATTTGATTGCATTATTTTATAATGTGTAATCTGTCTTGAGTCTAAACAAGAAAAGTGCGCTAAAAATAAAGTAAATAAATAGCAGTAGTACTACTAATAATAACAGCATCTGATTCATGCATATTTTAACATAATAATTTATGTTATTTATTTATTTATTCGATTTTTACCCCACACTCCCTGATCTTTAGGGCCAAAAAACTGAAGTTACATTGGGGATCTGTGAGGGGATCACTAGACATGTAGCTCAGTGTAAACAATGTAGCTCCAAGATGGCCTGATATGGGCCAAGGCCACAGTGCTGGGGACGTTTAACTCTTTCTCCCTGTGCTGTTTCCCCAGTTGAAACTCCCCCATGACTCCATAGGCTGTTTTTAGTCCAAATGCAGAAAAAGATAGGCAACCTGCCTATCTTTTTCCTTCCCTGGTCTAAAATAAACCTTGGGAAGAGAGGCAATTTTGATCATGCAAATGGTAAGAACATAAGAACAATGTTGGCTCAGGCCAACGGCCCATCCAGTCCAACACTCTGTCACACGGTGGCCAAAAATACCAGGTGCCATCAAGAGATGGATTGTCTTGGGGGGGGGGGAAGAAGTGGTATTTTCTGAGGGGGGAGAAAGAGAAAGAAGGGAGGAGAGAGAAAGAAAGGGGAGAGAAAGAGATAGGAGGGGGATTGTCTTGAGGAGAGAGAGAAAGAAGGGGGATTGTCTGGGAAGAGAGACAGAGAAAGAAGGGGAGATCGTCTGAGGGAGGGGGAAAGAAAGAAGGGGGAGAGATTTAGATGGGAAAGAGAGTGCAGATTGAGAAGAGGTTGGGGGAAGAGGAGAGGGACTTTGAGAAGGGCTGGGCAGATTGGGGCAGATTGACAGACAAGGGGAGAGGGGAGAAAGGAGGGTAAGAGAGGATTGCTAGAGAAGGGTGTGAGGGAGAAAGAGAGGAGAAAACTGACATAGGCCCCGGTCACACGGGCAGGAAAATGCGGGGGGGGGGGAGCGTGGCTGTTTGCCCCGGAGCAAAATAACGCGCGGTTGCACGATCAGATGTCCCATCGAGGTCCTGTGTTTAGGGAGGAGGTGCCGATCACACGACCATCCTGCAGCGCGGCAAAGAAACGGCGCGATCACACCAGCAATCGCTGGCGCCGCTTCCGTGGCAAACGGGATACATTTTTTTTTAAACTGAAGTTTGTGCATACACATGACTGAGCAATCGTATCTGCACATCCGAAGGCGGGTGGTGGGCTTACCGGAGAGGGCGACAGACGCTTCCGGACCCCAACAGAGCTCCGAGGCATAGCCAATGGAGGGGGAGGGGCCCCCCTCATCACAGCCACTCTAACCGCCTGCACGACAGTGGCCATAGCGACCCTCCAGAGGCAGCAAGCCTGGCTGCAGTGGGAGGGGGCCTCTTTGTGCACATACGCCGTTGGGCGCTTGTGCACATCCTGTGGAGACTTGAAATTAAAAAAATCTTTTCGCGACGGGACATGGGTGGACGCCGGATGCCACGGGATTCCACCGGAAACGCGATCAGGCGCCCGCCTTTGCCCCGCGGTTTCTGGAAACTAGTACCTTGGAGGTACTACGGTAGTTTTTTACCCCGCATCTTCGGCGGGAAGCCTTGGGTGAGCCACGGGAGCTCTACGCTTCCCAGATGTGGTGGTGTGATCGTGCCCGGAAAATCCGCCTATCTTCCGTCTCTGTAGCGTGGCTAATGTTCCGTGTGACCGCAGCCTTAGAAGGGGTGAGGGGAGAAGAGGTTAAGGGAAGATTGATAGTCAAAGCGTGGGAGCAGAAACAGAGAGGAGGGAACTTTAACAGAGAAGGAAGAAAGTGATGCACAGCAAAGGCAGGGGAATGCCCCCTCCCCACAAGTTTCTTGTGGTTCCCCACTTGTTTGTTTTAAAAACTAGATTCCACCTCTTAAACTGACTGACTGGCTGATTCCACCTCTTCCTTTACTTGTGATTGGGACAGACCCAGGTTTAAACAAGGAATCTGCCTTCAGTCATGCATGGCTTAAGCCCTAGTGACAGAACCTCACGTTCCTTCTCACTACATCATTTCAAAAAAAAATTGTTTGCATTTTTTACAATGTTGGCTGTGTATTCTTCCACACTGGAAAAACACTTCTAGTTAAACATGTTTTGAACAGCAGCAAGACCACTGCCACTGCAGCAATATCTCTCTCTCTCTCTCTCTCTCTCTCTCTCTCTCTCTCTCTCTCTCTCTCTCTCTCTCTCTCTCTCTGTGGATTGGATATCGTGGAAAGACAGGGATAATATTACTACTAAGGATAAAAACACATCTTTTTAAAACCATAACATGAAAGGCCTTTAAAGTCCTTAGATAAAGTCTGAAAGATTGGGAAAGAGACTATATGCTGACCTAAAGCACAGTCACATGCCTGGATTGGGTTACTCTTCTGTCTGCAAGAGGCTTCTGTTACAAGCAGAAAGCAACTGGCTGAGGCAAGACACACATATATACTCTCTTGAGGCTGGAGGTAATCTGCCTGCCCAGGCCTTGGCATGGGGCACCCTGAATAATGAAGGATTCTTTTCCTCTGGTCATTGTAAAAATAAGAAAAAAACAAACCAAGTTCCATCCTCTCCAGTATGCTATGGAAGCAGTGGAACAGAACTTACAGTTTGTTAGATATGAACTGTTTAATATCAGCAGGGAAGCTGTAGCCATACTGACTGCAAGTATAGAACAGCAGGATAATTAAGTGAAAACAAATGAACAGATACTAGTGCATTCGACTTTCACTTCTTCACGGCATATTCTCAATTTAGCAGCTTTTCACGGGCAGCAAAATAGGTCATCTGCTACTGCATGGATTGTGAAGTGGTATGGTTCTGGGAGGACAGTATCATATATTCTTTCTGGATATTTCAGTCAGCTCTCTAGGACTTATTCTATAGCTTAATTATCTTAATTGGGGGGCGGAATGGCCAGTATCCCTCCAGTCCAGTCAGCAACATACGAAGCCTTCCTTCAGCTTAAGTCTTCTACCAGAAGTAGGCCCACTGAAGTTTGAGGCAGGCTCCTTAAACTGGAGTAAGGCTTTAAACTTCAAGGAGTGGAGTGGTACAATACAGACCATAATTTGGCAAAACTATTATACTAACTCTACAGGGTAGTCTGATGAGTCCACTTTCCCAGAGAACAGTGTCAAGACACAAGTAACAACCTGTTTTTTTCCCCTCCCCCAAAATATTAGGACTTGAGGGCATCCGATGAAACTGATGGGCAGTAGGTTCAGGATGGACAACAGGAAATACTACTTTACACAGAGAGTGATTAAAATGTGGAATTTGCTGCCAGAGGATGTAGTGATGGCCACAGGAATAAATGGCTTTAAAAGGGGATTAGATAGATTCATGGAGGACAAGTCTATCAAAGGCTAGTAGACATAGTGACTGAGGGGAACCTCCACATTCAGAGGCACTAAGCCTCTGAATCCCAGAGTCAGGAGGCAACATCAGGGGAAGCCCTCGGCCTCTAGGCTCTGTTGTTGGCTGTCCAGAGGAACTGGTAGCTACTGTGTGAGACAGGATGCTGGACAAGATGGACCACTGGTCTGATCCAGCAATGGTCTTCTTCTTATGTTCTTACATTTCCCCACAATGTTGCTTGCAACTGAAAGTACTCAATAAGGCAGGGAACAATGCCAAATAGCGTATTTATTTTTAAAAACTCAGACAGAATAGGATATTTCATTCCCTATGGTTCACTCTAATTATATGTTTAGCATAATTATGTGGTTAGAGAACAGGCCATGGATAAAAATAATTTACACAAGAGTTACCAACAACCTGGAGAAAAGAAAATGTCTTGTCCCCTTAACAGAGGCTCAATGAGGTGTTATTTACCAGGTGATATTGTTCACCTCCATGCCATGAAAAGCTTCACCTGCCCATTTCGATATATTAAGCCTTTATTAAACGGAGAGGACATTATGTTCTCCTGGTAGCTGGCAACCCAAATTTTTCACAGAACCATCACAAACAGGCAATGGGAAAAATAAGAAGTGGCAGGAAGGGGGGAAAGTGCCCAAATGTAAGTAGCTGCATTTTCACTGGCTTTTAAAGAGCACGATGGTGCCCACGAACCTGGAATATAAGGCGTGGTCTGAGGGTGGCAGCCACAACAGCTACAGAATGGAACTGCCACCAGAAGCTTCCCCTGTGCACATTCTACTACTCTGCCGCTCCCATTCATTTCAGTGGAACATGCTCAGAAATTTCTAGTGGATTTTCAAAAAAAGTTCTCAACAAGGCCATTTTCTGGTTTCCTTGGATTCCAGGATTGATTTAGCAGTGACGTTCCAATGACAAAAGCATGTTTTAAAGGCCAAACCACTTGTGATGTGGGAGAGCCAGTGCTGGATCTGTCAATGTTTCCTTTTGAAATATCACAGATTGACATTTCTGAAACCTTCCAGACTCTGCATAGCCATCTTTTAATGGGCAGTGAAACTGGAAAGCACCATTTGGAAGAGTTTATTTATTTAAATTTTTTGCTGCTGCTGTGACATCTGATGTTTATTATATCTACAGCTGTCCACAAAGCTCAGTCACAGGTACACAAGGTTAAACTTGTGCAGAAATTATCCCAGAGATTTCCCACAGCACCAAGATGCAATGCACAGAAGTTATAACTTTTCTTCATACAAGGTGGTGCAATGGATCTTTTTTCTCTAGATTTGCCAGCAGACTTCCAATGTCACTTCCTTATTAACTGCTATTCCACTACAGTCTGAAATTATTTAATTTATGATCTTCCAGTTCTAATCAAACAGATTATAATAAGGACAAGAAACCTATTGATATTTTATATAAGAATTTTTTTCAGGTTTTCTTAAACTTTATCTGTTTAGCCAATGCCAAGAGTGTGATCGAGCACCAGCATTGGAGACAGCAGGGTTTAACGCTTTCCTGGGTACTGTTTCCAATATCTAAATCACACATACACCACAGTTTTTTTAGCTCTATAAGGAAGAATTGGATTTATACCCCACCCTTCACTACCCAAAGGTGTCTCAGAGCGGCTTACAAACTCCTTTCCCTTCCCCTCCCCACAACAGACACCCTGTGAGGTAGGTGGGGCTGAGAGAGCTCTGACAGAAACTGCTCTTTTTCAAGGACAGCTCTTATCAGAACTATGGCTTGCCCAAGGTCATCCAGCCAGGTGCAAGTGGAGGAGTGGGGAATCAAACCCGGTTCTCCCAAATTAGAGTCCGCGCACTTAACTACTACACCAAACTGGAAGCAAATCAGGGCATGTGTGGTTTGGCCTTAGCAGGCTACTAGATTCTCACCAGCTCCTTCTCTGAATTATCCCCATGGACATGGTGATTACCAATTTTGACTTGTGGTTCTTTATGTATTACACTTTTATTATTGGTTGGTAGGTACATTTTAATTCTCCCTCTCTACCAAGAAGTTCAGGGCATCACACACTGTTTTCCTCTCTTCCATTTTACCAGGGTTAGGTTGAACAGCAGTAACTGGCCCAAGATCACCCAGCAACTTCCAGTTTCAACCCGGGGCTCCTAAATCCTAGTCCAACACCTTAACGGCTACACCACCCTGCCTCTCTGGTTGATTTATCGGTGTGTCAGTTTTCAGGAGCACAAATCCAGAACACATATACAGAGTAATGTACAGAAACCCATACTGCAGATGTAGCCATTATTTCTGAAGCAAAAAATCCTTACAAAACAGGTATGGGGGCACTATCACATGTCTTGAAAGTCAACTGTAAGGCCCAGAGCATGGAGGCTCCACTTTTACCAGGAGGTCTTCCATATGGTGTAGGATGGTAACATTCAACCTGTCCCTTGAAAAAGCCTTACCCACATAAATTCACCCTTCAAAGGCATCTGACAGAAAATTCTGGGGCATGTCCTAAGGCACACACTCGGCTAATGGAGAGTTTAGGCCTGTTGAATTGTCCCAGTGTCATACAGCACGAACACAGAATATACTAAAACAGTACACTCAATACTTCAATACACCCAATACTTACTAAGATTATTCCACCATTATACAAATGCAGCACTTTATGAATTGTGTTATGATTGTAATTTGTTTTATTGTTTTAATAACAATAAAACAATAACAGACCTATGATATCATTAGGTCTGTAAGCCGCCCTGAGCCTGCTTTGGCAGGGAGGGCAGGGTATAAATCAAATAAATAAATAAAGATTAATGGTGGACAAACTATCAGAAAATCTTGCCTGTTGTGACTGACTGTCTAGCTGAGGGGTTTCGGATTCACAAAGGATCCCAGAGCTCTCAGGAACCCACATTGAAGCAACTGGCTGTAGGTGAACACTTAATTCCAGTAATGAGAGTACCAAGGCTCCTTGGCTGGAGGAAGCAGAATTTGGGGGGAGAACAGGAAATGACCCCTTCTCCCTACTCTCAGTCTCTGATTCAGGTTGCTCAGCCAGGGGAGCCGAAGGCACTCTTCACATGCGCAGAGTCAGCTTGCCTTGCAGTCCTAAACAGAGTGACAGTCTTTCTAGCTGCACTGAAGTCAGTGGGCTTAGAAGGGTGTTACTCTGTGTAGGACTGCACTCTCTGTTAGGGCTTAAAAACAGTCTAGCGCTGAAGAACATTCCGCAGGGCTATGTCAAGTCTCACATCCAGCTCTTTTTATCAGGTGCAGAGAACAAGTAGCTCCGAGGCTTCCCCAGATTTCCTCCCACTCCCAAGCGATCCATCGCCCGCATCTCCAGGGGGCGCCGAGGGACTGACTGCGGCTTCCACCTCACGGGCAGGGCCCGCAGGGAACGCTACCCCTTGGTAAGTGTCTGTCAGCGCAACTTGCCGCCGGGAAGGCCTGCCGCGGTGGGCCGTTGCGCTCGCCTAAGGTGGACCCCGCTCCCCTTCCTCACGGAGCCGCCGCTCTCTCTTACCCAGCGTCGCCACAGCAGCCAGGCTGCAGAGCGCCATCCCCGCCAGGGCCCAGGTTCCCATCGCGGCGGTCCTGGGCGTTTCACAGAAGCCCGGCTTTGCAGGAGGGGGCCCGGGCAGCGGAGGGCGGCAGCGACGGGCTCTGGAGAAATCCGAGCCGAGGCAGCCGCCTCGTGTTCTCCCAAGAAGGGAAGCCGAGAGGACGCGTGGCTGAATCCACTTGCTGAGCGAGCCGCCGGATGAATGCGCGGGGCTGCCTTGGCCCAAGAGCTCTCTCCTCGCGTGCACGGCCCGGCGCGGGAAGATGCTGAGCCTGCGGCGTTACCCAGATCTCGGTCCTCCTCCTTTGTGGGGATGATCGTAGGGAGAGGGGGGCGAAGGGGCAGTTTGAAGACGGCTAAAAAATTAACGTGTAACCTCCGCAAAGACCAAGATTTTTCCTCCTATGCCAGGCAGAGCCAGAGCGAAGGAAGAAATCTCTCTCCAACTTTCGGAATTACTATGTTAACCAAAAGGATGATGACACGGAATGTAAAACGACCGTGTATATATATATATACTTGTAATTTATATATGAATGGTGTCTTGGAACAAAACCTAATCTTCATTTTGAGTAATACAGTTAGTGAGTTTTCTGGTTTTCAAGTCCTTATCCAACATAGACCTACATGGGAATTCAGAATAAGGACTGAAGTTGACATATCCCTGCACCCCAAAATAATCTTTTAGCCATCCTGCATCATAGAAGAAGAAGAGATTGGATTTATACCCCGCCCTTCACTGGGAGTCTCAGATCGGTTTACAATCTCCTTTCCCTTCCCCTCCCCACAACAGACACCCTGTGAGGTAGGTGGAGCTGAGAGAGCTCTGACAGAAACTGCTCTTTTTCCAGAACAGGTGTGCCAGAACTATGGCTTGCCCAAGGTCATCCAGCAGCTGCAAGTGGAGGAGGAGTGGGGACTCAAACCTGGTTCTCCCAGATTAGAGTCCGCACACCTAACCACTACACCAAACTGGCTCTCATACACTCATACACTCTCATGACTGAGAGTCTGAGATGATCTTCCCTTGACATGTCACCTATCTAAAGTTTTGGTTTCACACAACTAGTTTTCTAGCCTAATGCCTCAATGCTAAACCTTGCTAATATAAGGTGTTGGCGGGCTTTGCCACTGAACTCAATCCTGGGACACCACTAAAACATGCACCCCAGGGCTCTGGCCAGTGGATACCTAGCCCAAACTTTCCGCAGCAAACAGATACAAAGAATTCATTTAGCATCTCCCCATCTTCCTTTATCAGTCCTTTTATTCCTAGGTCATCCAAAGGCCTGCTACTCTGGCTGGTTTCCTGCTCCAGATATATTTAAATAAATGCTTATTGTTTGTATTGATACTTTTAGCAACCTGCTACTCAAATTTTCTATTTGCTTGTGTCATTATTAACTTACATAGAATCACAAAGTTGGAAGAGACCATACAGGCCATCTCTTCCAACCCCCAGCTCAATACAGGATCAGCCGAGCATCCCTGACAAGTGTTTGTCCAGGCGCTGCTTAAAGACTGCCAGTGAGGGCGAGTTCACCACCTCCTTAGGCAGCTAATTTCACTGTTGCACAACTCTTACTGTAAAAAAGTTTTTCCTAAGATCCAGCTGGTGTCTTCCCACCCAATTTAAACCCATAATTGCGGCAAGTCCTATCCTCTCCTGCCAATAGGAACAGCTCCCTGCCCTCCTCTAAGTGACAGCCCTTCAAATACATAAAGAGAGCAAACATGTCCCTCCTCAACCTCCGCTTCTCCAGATTAAACATTCCCAAGTCCCTCAGCCTTTCCTCATAGAGGTTGGTCTCCAGGCTCCCGATCATCCTCATCTCTCTCCTCTGCACCCGCTCCATTCTGTCCACATCCGTTTTGAAGTGAGGCCTTCAGAACTGCATACAATACTCTGGGTGCAGCCTGACCAATGCAGTGTGTTGCGGGACTATGACATCTTGCGATTTGGATGTTATACCTTTGTTGATACACCCCAAAATCGCATTAGCCTTTTTTGTCGCAGAATCACACTGGCTGCTCATATTTCACTTACGGTCCACCCGTACCCCAAGATCTTGTTCACACACAGTGGTACTCAGAAGTGTATCCCCCATCCAATATGCGTGTTCCTCGTTTTTGTTACCCAGATGTAGAACTCTGCACTTATCCTTGTTAAATTGCATCTTGTTCACATCTCCCCACTTTTCCAGCATGTTCAGGTCTTGTTGAATTCTCTATCTTCTGGTGTGTTCGCTGCTCCTCCCAGTTTGGTGTCATCTGCAGATTTAATGAGTGGCCCCTCTACACCTGTTAGATCGCGCTAACAAAGGACTCTTAGAGTGATTCAGCAAGTGATTCAGCTTTATTGGAAGTAACGAACAAGCACTCAACTCAGTAAGAAACCAGAACAGAAAACAGTGGGAGCTTATGCTCCTTTTAAACATAACCGGGCTAATGTAGCCACGCCTATTTACAAATAACAACCAATGAGATTGCTAGAATAAAGACCAATGGGAGTCTTTCCCTCCTAGGGAATGGTACCGTTCTGATTGGTCGCTGTTACGAAGCGACCAATAGGAAGTTCGCTCAGAGGAGCCCTGGCCTGGCTCGAAGCTTAACATGGACAAACATGCAATCAACCTTTGTACATCAGTTATTCCAACAGTATTTACACTCATAGTCCTTCAGATAAGTCGGCATTTGCCGCGAACGCTGGGACCTGCGGAGCGGTGCAGGCTCCATGGGCAGACAAGGTTGTGGGTCAGAGTGGGGTTCACTACAGCCTGGATCAGGCACAGACTCGACTGGGATTTCAGCCCCGCACACAGGGTTCTGCCCTGACTCGGGGACAGTACCGGGCCTTTCGGTACTCACCGCCTGCTCTGGGGGTGTCCACTCGACATCAGGGGATTCAGCCGTCGGAGAGTCAGCGCTGTCCCTAGCCCAACGTCTCCTTAACTGATCTATGTGGCGCCGCCATATTCGACCGTCAGCTAACTGCACCACATACATTCGAGTACCCACAGAGTCGGATATAACCCCAGGAAGCCATAAGTGCCCGTTTGCATAATTTCGTGCGAAAACCTTGTCCCCTTTTTCAAACATGCGCACCTTCGGTTGCGCCGTGGTACGCTCGGATTGCTCTTCAGTGAGGTCTGGGTGCATTCGGTTCAAACGGGTCGTGAGTCTCCGCCCCATTAACAATTCGGCCGGACTACGGCCTGTAGCACTACAGGGGGTGGTGTGCTGCAGCAAAAGAAAGGAGCCCAGCCTCTGGCTCCAGTCCCCTTCGTCCATTTTACCCAGGGCCTCTTTGGCCGTCCTGACCATCCGTTCGGCTTGGCCATTAGATGCCGGATGGAAAGGGGCCGAAGTCATTTGGCGTATGCCATTACTCGTGAGGAAGAGCCTAAATTCCTCAGACACAAATTGAGGCCCGTTGTCACTGACGATGACGTCAGGCAACCCGTGGGTGGCAAAAAGTCGGCGGAGCGCATGGATCACAGCAAGTGATGTGGTCGATTTCATATGCACGACCTCCAGCCATTTGGACATAGCGTCCACCACAATTAGGAACATTTGCCCTTGGAGAGGGCCAGCAAAATCTATATGCAATCTGGCCCAGGGTTTACCAGATGACTCCCAGCCTTGGGGTGTAGCTTGTGGGGGATCGGGTCTGACTTGCTGGCATTTGGGACACCCTCGTACCCATTCTTCGATCTCTTTGTCCAGCCCCGGCCACCAGACATACCCTCTGGCCAACGCTTTGGTGTGTACCATACCGGGGTGACCCTCGTGCAGCGACTCTAACACTCTCGTCCTGAGTTTGTCAGGAACCACCACCCTGTTCCCCCATAATACACAGCCCTTAGAAATGGATAGTTCATTTTGACGGCTTTTGTAAGGGCCGAACTCCGGTTCAACGCTTCCAACCGGCCACCCCCTCCAAACCCAGTTTAATACTCGGGACAGCACGCTATCCTTGGCCGTGTGTGCTGCAATGTCCCTGGATGATACCGGGGGTCGAGGAAGCTCCTCAATTGCCAAGACCTCACAGGCGGGGGCAGGGTCTGCGCCAATGTCCGGCACCGGGCACCGGCTGAGGGCATCCGCATGCCCAATCGCTTTCCCAGGCCGGTGCTCTAAGTCAAAATCATAAGCCTGCAAAAATATCGCCCATCTAAGCATGCGTGGGGACATGATGTTTGGCAATTGCTTATCGGGCGCAAAAATCCCCAGTAGCGGCTTGTGGTCAGTGACCAGCAAAAATCGTCTGCCAAAAATAAAATCATGGAACTTTTTGACAGCCGCTACCAACGCCAGACCCTCCTTGTCTATCTGGGCATAGTTCCGCTCTGCCGCAGATAGTGATCTAGAATAAAAAGCGATAGGCGCTTCGCTCCCATCAGGCATCAGATGGCTTAAAACTGCGCCTACTCCAAAAGGTGAAGCGTCAGCAGCTAACACCAGGAGCTTGTGTTCATCATAATGCGTGAGTACGGCATTAGATGTCAGCAGCTCCTTGACTCCCACAAAAGCCTTTTCCTCGGCCTGCCCCCACTTCCATTTTGCCTCCTTGTGCAAAAGCGCGTGCAAAGGGGCCGCCACTGATGCCTTATGCGGTAAAAACGCATGATAAAAATTCAGGAGTCCTAAAAAGGATTGGAGCTCCTTCTTACTCACCGGCCTGGGGGCGTTTTGGATTGCAGATACCTTCTCATCCGTGGGGTGGACTCCCTCTGCGTCAATGCGAAACCCCAGGAAGTCCACACTTTCCACCCCGAGCGTGCATTTTGAGCGCTTAACTCTGAGACCGGCATTTTGAAAACGCCTGAGGACCTCTTTAACCCGGTCCAGTAGTTCCTGTTCAGACCCGCCCGCAATCAGCACGTCGTCAAAATAGGGCACTGTGCCAGGTACCCCCCTTAGTAGACGTTCCATGAGGCCCTGAAAAATCCCAGGTGCTACGTTGACCCCGAATTGCAGCCTGTTCACTTTAAAAGCCCCTTGGTGGGTTACAATTGTTTGGGCCTCGGCAGCCTCCGGGGTGACAGGCAACTGCTGGTATGCCTGGGCCAGGTCAAATTTGGCGAAAATCTTGCCACCCCCCAGGGAAGCCAAAATGTGGCTTATTACCGGGACCGGGTACGAATGTTGCTGCAGCGCCTTGTTAATCGTACATTTGTAAT